ATCTCTGGATCTACAAGCCCCAACTCGAATTCCCAACCTTCTTCCTTCCTTTCAAGCTTCACAAACCACCCAAAAGCACCAAAATGGCCTTATATCACACAAAAGCGGTTAGGGTTTCGATATACAGCTTCTTGGGAGAGATAGGGATGAAGGAGACTAAGTTCAGTTATTTAAATAGGGTACAAACCCTCAGATTTAGGGTTTTCTTCAAACAACACCTACTCGTCGAGCCAGTCTCCCGACTCGTCGAGTAGGTCACTTAAAATGCCCGCGAATCACGACTCTACTCGACGAGTTTGGCCACCAACTCGTCGAGTCCCAGAGAAAATACATAAATGCTTAATTTAAATGCGTACTGGGAATCAGGTGTTACATTAATGTATTTATCATGGATATCTAATTTAACATTTTTAATACAAATTAATGGCATATTAACATAAAAAGGATAATGGATTTTTATACATTGAGAAATTCTATTCATAAATGAATATGCCAAAGCAAAATTTATATATTTATAAATAATTATACTACAAATGAATTCATACATTTATATTGAAGATGTTATCTTTACAAATGTTTAAAATCACATAAAATGAGATATTGTATTCATACATGATTATAATTATTTTTCTCCTCTAATATATTTGGACTAAAATGTACTTTTATAATTGTAATAAAAAATGAATAAACATATTTTTTTGGTCCATCTGACGTAGATGATATTTCCCTTGTTATTTTTTCTCAAATTACCAACCGACATGTAAATAATAAAGAATATAGTTCAACATATTATTTTCTTTAACCAAATAAAGATATAAACACCAAAAAAAAATTAAAAGAATAAAATACTACAAATATATCATGAGATACAAATAAATAGCTTGATAAGTTGTAAAGTTTAGAAAACTATATACATATTCATTAATGACTAGGTATACCTGAAATTTAAGGATGAGTATAGGAACTGACTCGGACGGAACCGGCCCGGGAACCGAACTTGGTAGAAAATAGGAATCGAACCGGACCGCTGGTTCTATCGTTTCCCGGTTTCTACTGGTTATTTCCGTGTCTTCAATGTTAAAAACCGGTCCTCAAAAAATAGCAACATACGATTCCGATTTTTGCCGGTTCTACCGGTTTTTACCGGTACTACTGGTGTTGGTTCCTACCAGTTCCTGATTCAAAAAATCCATAAGAATAACATCCTGGTCCCGGCCCGAACGGTTCCATCGGGTTTCGGTTCCGATACCAGTTCCGACTGGTTCCTCGGTTCAAATGTTCATCCCTACTGAAATTCATTATAAAATAATGAATGATTATAATTAGATTATGTGAATATTCCAAAAATATTACTAGACATTACTCTATAAATCTGTAATGTAATATTCTCTTATAATAAAAGACTCCTTAAAATATCACATGTCATTTTTCTACACGAATGATTTGCCACATGGTGTTTTTTCTAAAGGCTCACTGAATGATTTCCTGCCCGTCTTCTATGTAACTGTAAAAGACCAATTATAAGTAATTCTCAATCATTCAAATTCATATCATGGGTGTTTTTTATGTCATTAGGCCAAAATATAAGTATTTTTTTTTCAATGCATAATAATTTTTAACCTCAAATCTTATATATGTTAAGATTAAGAGGGTGTCTGAGATTTCATTTTGAACCTCAAAAGAATTTTTAGGCTAAATGGGTTATTGACTTATGATACTGAAAAAATAAGTTTTTAAAAAAATGTTTGGATTAAGTTTTGTGGTGGGAAAAGTCAATAAGTTAATAAGTTATATTTTAAAAAAATGTTTGTCTTAATTTATACATGTTTTAGGGGGTATTTAACTTTTACAACTCAAAAAAAATTATTAGGAGTTTTGAAAAGTGAGAAATTCTAACTTATTGAAATCTTTTATATATATATATATATATATATATTGGTTTGTTGAAATACCATCTAAAATATAAATATATTTTTGTTGAAACAATCATTACAATTTGTTTGATTTTTAGTATATGATAATAATAAATTATACTTCTATTTAATAAAATATAAAAACATATTAAAATGTACAAATGTATTGTTATGACATGTATCTGATACTTTTTGATTATGAGACTAAATCAAAGTTTGATACGAAATATACATCAGCATACCAAGTAGTTGGTTTAAAACAATGCATTAATTCATTTATAGATTGATTGAGAAGATGCAAAACAGTCCTGTCCGCATGACATAGAAGCTCTATTCTTGAGATAGCTCAACAATAAGTATTCTTAATTTATATAAAATATAGATTGCAATATATCACACTGACACCAATATGTTTACGATTTTAAAAATTCAAACAATAAACATCACACAATCTTCTTTCTCTCTTAGATTTTCATAATGGTTACCAATGCTAATAGTTGTTTCATAATTGTTTAAAAACATATTTATGCAACTGGCAAAAAAGATTCATCTGCAGATCATCTTCATTTTAATTGTGTTTTTAATACACACCAACCGACATAAAGATTTTTCAACCAAATCTTTGATATGTGGATGTATTCGTATTAAAAATGATTTAGTTCCATCATAAACAATTGACGATACATTTCATAAAAATATATTGTTACATTTTAATCGACTTTTATATTTTATTAAATAAAGTATAATTAAAAAAATTATATTTATTTATTTATATATTAAAAATCACACTAATGGTTGTTTAAGCAAAAATAGATTATAATTTAATCTTAACATGAATAAGACTTAAGGTTAAAAATTGTTATGCATTGAAAAAAAAAAAATAGAATTTTGGCCTATTCATAAAAGAAGCCACCATTAACATTTTGCCTTAAAATTGAACTATCGAAACCTACTATTGTTTGCGGTAACTTGCTATTGTTTCCGGTGGTTAATGGCTTTTTGTCAATAGCAAATTTTTTATTATTATTTTTTTGTAAAACACTAAGGTGCTGATTGTTTTTCTGAGGTAAAATGTATGCAGTCTGTGGACCATATCTACAAATCTCTACAGTAGAAGAGGTGGACCAAACATGTGCAGTCTGAAAGAAGAAGACTATTTGTTTTTTAACATCTGCAGGGTGTTAGAATAAACTAAAATGTAATTAAACTGATTTTGAAAAAAACTTAAAAGATTTTTTTTGATAATTTTATGACTTTATTATAGATAATTAACAAATGTATATTAGCTTTTATGTATTATTGTATAAAAAGTGAAAATAAAATGATATCATATATATTTAATAAAAACCAACAAACTTTGGTTGTAAAGTTATACCCAAGCATTATAATTATGGATAAAATAATTTAACATATAACATGAATGGAAATAAACTTTGATTTTAAATGAAAATTTTAAAAGTTTTTACTTTACTTTTTCAATTAAAAACTGATCATAAATATTTTCCCCACAAAAAGAACGACATTGCATAAAATAATATTTTATAAAATTTGGCATAATAAAATATAAGACAATATTATGATTTTTTTTGTATATCTATATAAACAACTCCACAAATTATTATTGTAATTAAATATTTATTTATAATTTTGTCACAAAGGTTATGACTGTGTTATCTAGGACTGTTCAATATTTGGATAAAATCGAGGACAATTTGGATTGAACTATTTGGTTCAGATATTTGAATTTTTGGATTGGTTTTCAACAAAACCGAACTATATATTTTTTTTTTTTTGGATTTTGGATTGATTTTGGCTAATAAAATATGAACAGAATAATCCAAAAAAAACCGAATAACAATTTATTATTCATTTATCTTAATATATCTATAGTTATTTTATTAATTTTGTATTATATATATATATGGAAAGGAAACTTCCCTAGCGAAGATTTCCGGATCAGCTTTATTATATTTTTTTTCTGATTGGTTTAAAGGGTTTCATCTAATACAAAACATATATATGTATTTTTTCTCAAATGTTTTTTTTTTTTTTTTATCTATAATATACCTTCTTAGTGATTGTTTATTAATTTTAAATCACAACTAAATATTTTTTTTTTTTTTTTTTTTTTTTTTTTGTAAAATTTGGTAATATTATAATTATATGATGTTTTAAAATGTTCCGATTTTTGAAAACCGAATTATAAAAACCAATTCAACCGAATTGTAATTAGATTAGATCAGATCGGATTTGAACTTTGTTTGGACTATTTGGATCAAATATTTGAGAACCAAAATAAACTTGGATTCAATACCGATCCATCCAAACGAGCACCCTTAAATTGTTATAAAACTTTTTTTTTTTTAAGTATTGTAACTTTTTTCCAATTTATTCATCATATATAAAATTGGAATAAATATAAGTTTAAAAAAAATAAAAAATAAAAGAAAAAGAAAAAAATTAACAACAGTAATATTTGTTTTTTAGCTTGGAAGATGTTTGAATATTCTGGTCCATATCTACACCTAAAAAAGGATGCGTAAACCTTTTTTAATCTGCAGTCTTAAAAAAACAAACATTTTGTGAAGTTTAATATCTATATACCATGTGCGCAACGAAAACAAGAAATGTCAAAAATATATACAGATAGAAAACGTACATCTAAAAGTTTGATTGGTAGTGGTTTAAACATGTCACTGTAGTAATTAATATAAAGTTGCTTATATTTATATTTTTCTTAAAACTAAAATTGTTAGAATTATCCAAAAAAAATTTAAACAAACCTTTTTATCAATCATGTACTTTGGTCGTACGATAGTCGAGAGGTTAGGGTAAAGAAGAAATTGCCGCTTTTACTCATGGCGTTGAAATGACCTAACACGCCACCACTTGACCAGATGTGTTATCGTTTGAAGAACCAAGCTTTTGTCACCGGGTCAACTCAACTCAGTTTCTGCCTATCATCATCAACAACATAGCGAAATAGGTTTCAGAAAGAGACAGAAAAATACAGTAATCGGTGTTGCCATAATTTGCAATTATTAGGAAAACTCGACGTTTTTGTCAATAATAATTAACACAGCTTTCTCGGAGTCGCCGTCGTAGCGGTGCGAACTAATGGCGTCGGTGAAGAGAGAGATTACAGAGGAATCTGACGACCAACACCATCTTCCCAACAAGCGATCTAAGGTGCTTTTTGCCTATTTACTTTACAGTTAACGAAAAAATCGTGCAACGAGTTCGTAAAATCTATGAAGTTTCATTGTTAGTATAATCGTAAATCTGCTTGCGTTTGATTTTTGATTTTTGATTTTTTTTTAATCGCGATAGATCTAAAAGCTCTAGATATCGATCTAGAGTTGTTATTTTATAAATTAGAGAGTGATAAGAACAGAATGATCCAACTTTGTGCCCTAGCTTCTCTGGATTAGGTGTTTTTGTTGAGGCGAATGAATCTCATCAGTGCTTTAATCATCTCTTTCGTATTGGCAGCATCATAATTTTGGAGTTGATGCCTTTCCTGTACCTCAAATGCAAATCAATCTATTAGATGAACCAAGTCCATTAGGGTTACGCTTGAGGAAGAGCCCATCACTCTTGGATTTGATTCAGATGAGGCTCTCAGAAGGAAATTCCTTTTCCAGTTCTACAAAAGAACACAAAAACACTGCTGCTTCTGCTGCTACAGACAAGCTAAAAGCTTCAAACTTCCCTGCATCATTCCTCAAGATAGGTACCTGGGAGGTAATTAACATCTTCATATCTATACACATCTTTCTTTTTTCCCCTTCCAAACACTTCCTTTGATAAATTCGTCATGAACTTCTTGTAGTATACATCCAAACACGAAGGAGACCTAGTGGCAAAATGTTACTTTGCAAAACATAAACTAGTATGGGAAGTTCTTGATGGTGGACTCAAGAACAAGATTGAAATTCAATGGTCTGACATCATGTCTCTAAAAGCAACATATCCAGACGATGGCCCTGGAACTCTAGACATAGTGGTAAAATGTCGTTTTTACCCCTTCATCTTATCTTAATTCTTAGCCACCATTGATTTTCCTTTTCTTTTTGCAGCTAGCTAGGCAACCTCTCTTCTACAGAGAGACAAATCCACAGCCTAGAAAGCACACGTTATGGCAGGCCACATCAGACTTTACAGGTGGACAGGCTAGTTTATACAGGCGCCATTGTCTACAGTGTCCACAAGGGTTATTAGGCAAACACTATGAGAAGCTTATTCAGTGTGACCCTCGGCTTAACTTTTTAAGTCAACAACCTGAGATACCTTTAGTATCCCCATACTTTGAATCCAAAAGATCAGTTTTTGATGAGCCAAATGAATCTATTGGATATAATATAAGTAATGAGGGACCCACCACAGTTGACTTACATGGCACAATGTCAACATCAGGAGGTCAATCTTCTTCTAGGCCTACAGAATTCATTCGGGAAACACCTTCACCCAGCTCAGGTAAACATTGCATTTACACACAAAACTGTGTCGTTTCAGGCATTTCATTGGTTTTTTCCACTTTATTTAAAAGAAAAAAACAAAAAACGATAATTGGATGAAAATGTGATGATGTGATTGTTTTGTATATAACCAAATTATTTATGTACTTTTGGTATTGGTTTTATATGATCAGCATCAGCGAATGAAGAAGTAAAAAGAGGTGACTTGAAGAGGCATGAGATAAAAGTGGGAGGGGTAGAATCGTCAATGTCCATGAGTGATTTGGTGAATCACATTGAAAACAAGATTATAAAACACAGAACACCAGGCGATCATCTTCATAATCATCCGCTTTCTAATGAAGAAAAAGAAAGTCTAGTGATTCTTGAAGATATCAGTCGATGTTTATTCAACGATGCACAGAATGGATCATTGGCTTCTGATGAGCAGTCAATAATGTCACGAGTCAACTCTCTTTGTTGTCTTTTGCAAAAGGATCCTGAAACTGTGCAAGATGTAAGTCAAACTGATAAAATAGAAAAGAGTTGTGATGAAGGTGATGAGAATAATAATGGAGGTGGAGGTGGGATGCGTAGGAACGACTCTGTGGGTGAGTTGTTGCTGAATCTACCTCGGATAGCATCTCTACCAAGGTTCTTTTTCAACTTGGATGATTTTGGGAATCAAAGTAGATAAGATAAAAAAGAAGAGTATATTATGGAGATTGAGGTAGCTTTTGTAAAGTGTTGAAGTTATCTAAGCTTTTGATTATGATGTATATATATGTTTGTGTTCTTCACTCTCTCCATGATAGAATATCTGTGGAATATTAGTTTTGATGTAAAAGTTGGTATTAATGGGTTGGAGATGAATCACTCTTTACTCCATTTGAGATGGTATATGATATTTTTGTATTTATTTCAGTTATTCTGGATGATCTCATACTTATATCACTTGATCACGACACGTATGCTTGTAATTTGTATATATTATATTAGACTCGCAAACAATGCCAAATGAAATAATACCATCATAACAAAAAAAAAGTAACATAAGCTAAGGATCTTGTGGGATTTCATCATCTTCCAAGTTCTCATTTTCTTGAAGCATATTCATAAGCATATCAACCTGATTTTGCAACATTGCATTCTGTCTCTCAACATCACTACGCTTGCTTCGTTCATCTAGTAACTGCAACTGAAGATGTTCAAGCACACGCGAATCCTCTTCTAACTGCTCATTTAGCCCATCAATCTCTCTATCCTGCAATTAATCAATCCATCTTCATATTTTACTTGGATGAGACTAGACTAGACTAGATTATACTTGATTGGATTGAACTGTATTAGATGAGATCGGACTAGACTAGATTGTACCGAACTAAATGGGCTAGGCTAGACTAGACTGGACTGAACAAGACCAAACCAGTCTGTCTAGTCTCGAGAATTTTCTTGGACTATTATGTCCTATGACATCCATCTCACGATGGAGCAAAAAAATTGCAATTTTATCTTACTGACATTACAAAATGCAGTACAATCTGTTTTGTCATTTTCTGTACTGCATACCTTTCTGTTCATTTCTTGTACGGCAATCCTGCGCATGCTTTCAACAACGTCAACGTTTACAAGCTTTCGTTTCTTCCCAATGAGCCATCCGCGAGGGTAACTGGCAGAGTCAAAGTCGGGTGGGGGAAGTAAAGATTCGGCTGAAGGTCTTCTACCATTCAAATCCATTATTGGTTCAAGAGGTTCAAACAGAGCCTTACGTTTCTCTGAAAGTATACTTGTTTCTTCCATTTTTTCATCAATGGAATCATCGTTGTTGTTATTGTCATCGTTTGTTTTATCTTTATCTTCAGTTGAGTCTTTAATATTGTCCTTGTACAAATTCTTCATACTAGCTGCAACCATAAAGCTGCTAAATCAATAAGAAAAAAAAAAAAAAACACGTAATTATATTTTAAAGCATTATTTTTCCTATTCCAAATTGACGTATTATAATATCAGCAATGAAAAGTCAAAATTTGTTGCCTGTTGGCCATCAAATCACATAAAATAATTGCGTATCTCCTTGCATAGTTGTATTCATCTATTAAAAGCACTATTTTGATCGTTTATTAAATGTTCATAATTGTATTAAGGAACTTATGAACAACTATAAATTTTATTAACTTTCCTAAATAATTTTGACTTTTCGAAATGAAATTTTGACCTTAATGACTCCGGATGCCTCTTTCGTTTGATTAAAGTAACATTAAATTCATAGCAATATATGCTTCAAAAATCATGAATGTCGAACTATTTCCAACATGAAAGAAAACAGATCTACAGTTCTTAACAATTAAATCAGCAACAGTTTATATCGTTGCACATAAAACTCATTAATCGTGAAATAATCACACAAACTCAGAGGCTAATTTAAAAAAAAAAAAAAAAAAACGTTGATTACCTGGTCTCTTGCGAGATTTCCAGAAAACAGGCGTAGAAGTCACCGGAGAGAAGCCATTAACGAGAATACTCTGCACCTCCTTCTTACCTTCTTCCATTTCTCCGCTGTTTACAAACTCAGCACTCAATCAACTTCACCAATCTTCTCGTTGTTTATAACTTCAAAAAACTGAAATCACAGAATACGATACAAAGAGATAAAATTTAAAAGGAAGGATGAGAAAGTGAAAGATAGAAAGAGAGAGATTCGCTTCGTTTTCTTCTGGTATATTGTTTGTTGTTGTTGTTGTTCTTGTAAATCGTGTAGTTGTCGCTTAACGCACAAGAGTTTTATTTTAATGGTGCTGATAGGATCAATGGTGTGGCAATTGGACGGCTAGGATTTGGTGATTGTAGGGTCGACTGAGTCTCCACGGTGGATGAGGTTTGGTTTGTTGTCTCTTTTCGTCTGCTTTCATATTACTCTATCCTTCTATTCTGATTTCTGGGACCTTTTCTTTCCTGCAACAAAGGATTACAAAATGTCAAATTTACTGAAATGCACAGGATTTTTTGCGATATTACGAAAAACCAAGAGGTAGTATTCAGTGGAAGCATGGTCAAAAAAGGAATACTGTCTGACAACACGCACTTTAATAGATCCTTTTTATTATTTTATCAAATGTATTTAAATACAATATTTTTTTTGGCAAATTTCGTGGACTTATTTTTATTTAGATAAAGACTTTTTGGGATAGTGAACGCACAACCTATATTAGGGATTTACAGTTGAATAAGAATTAAAAAGTTTACACGTTACTGTTAAAAATGTAAACAAGGTCTAATATGTTTTTTGAGATTTTTGAAAACCGCAACTACATTGCACTACAAAATTTTTAAACCACGTTATGTGGGGTTGACAGTTTGTACGACTTGATGAACAATAAATCATGTTTGGAGTGACATTAATTATTTATAGATTTTTATCAATTTTTGAATCTAAAATAGATGACTATATTTAGTTTAACTTCAACAAGTCACTCTAAATAAATTTATTTTCTCTAAATGACCACGTATGTCAACTTTTTCATTTAATGTCCTTTATTCTTCTTTAAGAAACTATGTCAGCTTTTGCAACCAAAGGAGGTAAAAGCTTTGTTATGGTACCAACACATTTCAAATATTTGTCTAAGAAAGCGTAACGGATGATGTTACAAAAAAGTCGGAGGTTTTATCAAAATATTCTTGTTCAAACTCAATTTTATTTTGTTTTAGTCAAATATTTTGTTTAAGTCAAATCTCATCAAGTTTATATATAATAACATTTGACAACTGAATAAAAATTTCAGAAGATTTGAATGCACTTGAAGTTTTTTTGGGAAGATAGGAGTGTAGGTTGGGTAAGGTTAATCTTTTACTTATCGTTTTTTTTTAAAAAAAAATCCAAAAAACAATAAAGTAAATATAACAAATAGACAAAAGAAAATCTTAACAACAAATTCCTCTTTTCAAGTGCATTCAAATTTTCAAGGAAAGAAATCTGCAAGATATTTTCAATTTTGGACCTGCTATGCACGGAAAAAAAAAATTGAATACCACATGGACCAAACTTGCAATTTACTCAAAGACATATCTAGCACGAATTTCGTTAGCAGCACAAAATTTCATCCAAACAAACAATACACAGGAAACCTAGGAAATAATTCAACTTAAAAACATACAATAAATCTATTTTACAAATCTAATTTTCTACTTGATTAAAGGAAGGACCTTTTAGTTTAATCTCCCTTTTTGTGTCGACGTGAAACACAAAAGCCTACAAAACAGACAGAACCCAACATTCCAACCAAGTACCCAAAAATTGCCCCATAAGTCACACAAATTGGCCATTCCTATAAACAAAAAAATCAATAAAAAACGTTTTTACTTGTTATAAAAATTAAAATGACCATTTTACCCTTCATTTAGAATTGTAAAGTAAGAAAAAGTTACCTGCCATGTTCTTTCCCAGTCAAGGGGCATAGGCCATGCCCCAAACCAAGCTCCAATTACTGCTCCATGTGCAGGTAAACAGATCATATAATCAATAATTCCAATTAGCCTGCAAATTAAAAAAAATATATATATATTATATAAAATTGGAAATTGAACAACTTATTTTATTATTAATCAATAATCACTTACTTTGTATGCACAAATGTTTGTTGCCAATCAATCCATGAAGAACCATACACACAAGCTGCAGGAACAAACTGCAAATAAAAATATATATTTTCATAATTTTTAAAAATTTAGAAAATACTTCTTTTATAGATTCACACTCACTGTAAATGCAGACATTAGAAGAGACCAACTGAGGGTTCTTTGGAAGTACCTGCATTTAGAAAGAAAATTTTCTAATTTTAGTTAAAAAAAAAAAATTAGCCTTTTTAAATTTAATAAAGTTTGAAGGATAAATCACATACTGAGTTCCAATAGGTGCCCCTAAAGCAATAGCTCCAAGTGCATTGATGATTGCCCCTGTAAGTTTAAATTTGCTGTGTGTTTATGAGTATTAAGAAGAGAAGATAGTATAAAATTTTAGGGTTTTATGCAGAAGAATTAAGAGTAGAGACTAACCAATTGGAAGCCCTAGTAAACCTCTAGCTACAGCCTTCAAGTACTGCAATGTAAGACATAAAGTAAACCCTAGTTGATTGTGTATATATATAATCGATTGTAAAAAAAAAAAAAAAGAAATGATGAATTACCGAACTCTGATTCTTATCTTTCCGAAAGAGACTGTATATCAAAATCACAACTGGGACTTCAATCAGCTGGAATAACAGATTAAAATTCAGTTTTTGGAGTATGTTTTTGCTCAATGATTTAGGTATAAATGTGTTGATTGGAAATTTCTTAAACTTGTTCAAATCTTATCGTTATGGAAATCAGTGAATAATCTCTTCAATTACCAAAATCACATACGAGCAAACGGGTGATATCACTCTGTATACTTTTGGGAAATCATGCGATCTCTAATTTAGATACAGCTCTTGGTTTTCTATAGATCTTATTAGATGTAGAAGGGTAGGAAGATCAGTTGATAGTAATAATTGGGCATATCATCACTTATCATCCAGATTTTCATTCGAAAAGTATGGAATAAAATAAACCTTACATATGGATTAACAGGGAAACATTACTACAAATACTTTACTAAAAAACAGTTCTTAAATCATAAAATAGAACGATGAGTTTATAGAGTAATTATTACCCATACTAAACGAAGAGTTTCGGTTGGACTATCGATCAAATTGATGGAGTACACATTAATTGCTAGCCAAAATGATGAAGCTAACCCAATGCCGCAAATCAAATGCGATAATAGTAGCTTCGAAGGTGATAGGACGCCTCCGGTGGTGGAAACTTTAGTGTTGTGGCCTTTCTTCTTATCCTTCATCTCCACGTTAGCTTTATTGATGTAAGGTTGTTATCGGTGAGAAAACACGGCGAGAAGCTTCATGAATAGAGACAGATATTCATAAAAAAAAAAACGAATTGCAAAAATTAATCAGAAATTTTATGAATACTAGAAAGTAGAACTTACAGATATTAACAATCAGAGGGTCAAATACTCTCATACTCAGATTCTACACAGACTCTATTCTCGATTTCGTCTTAATTTCAAGAAAAAAAAAACTGGAAATCGAAAGTAAGAAGTGCAAGAATCGAGATTCACATTCACCGGTGCTATTTCAGTAAAAGAAACTGGAAATCGAAAAGAAGAAGGGCAAGAATCTATTTTAATTTAACTCGATTCACTGACTGTGGATCCTCGATCGCTGGTTGTTGTGGAGAAATTCAGAAAATCTGAAATAGAAGAAAATAAGATGAAGAAAATCGATTCACTTAATCAATGGATCTCGTTTGGATTTTCCACACGATTGTTGATGGTCATTGAGGATACCCGAACCCGCTTCGTTTTTAAGCCCCCGGCCCATATAGGTCAAACGATATTATGGTCTATGGACTAACGATTATGGAGTATGAGCCCATAAAAAAGGAGTAAACATTAATACATTTTATACTATCCTATTTGTCTAATTACTCTTTAGGTAGTATTTTGTTTAAACAATTGTAAATTTTGCTAATTTAGTTTTGGTTTAAAAAAAATAAATTAATAATAGTTTTGGTCTTCATAATTTACGATGAATTGATTACAGTTTTAATCTGTTTTAGTTTTTAAATTAGTAGATTATAATTTTGATGCATATAGCTTTTAATTCTAAAAGGAACTGAATTATTTACATTTTTGGTGTTTATAATTGTTAATTTAGAAAATCAAGTTTTTGGTCCTTGTAATTTTCAAATTCTAAAATTATATCAGTAAAGAATGATTGACTTATAGTTTTAGTACGGGAGGTTTGCATTGTTATGCGCTTTAAGTGTTACCGTCAACCTTTTTAGGTTAAATCAATGTTTTAAAATCCGGGTTCATCAGGCCGGCTCAATCAGTTGGACCGTGATCAGGGGTAGAAAGTGGGTCAATTGAGAATGATTTTTTGTAAAAATACGAACCGGATTGAACCGGCCGGGTTTTCTTTGAACTGAGGTTAGACCGCTTATGTTGAACCGGCTAAAACCGGATTGACCCGTTTTAATAGAGTTTGGATAGTTTGATACAAGTAGCGAACACCACAACAACGAGTCGTTTGCGATTTCTTCAATGTTTTTCAATGTTTAAACTTTGTGGACATCAAATTATTGGTTTTATATATTTATGTATTATGCAGGGAAGTAAAAATATATAAAAATAGAAAAAGACCATAAACCGGATTGATCTGTTGGTTCAACCGGTTGAACATAGTAACTCGTGAACCGATCATTACACCGGATCAACTAAAATCCGGGTTTTAAAATATTGGGTTAAATCTGTATAATATAACCATTTTAACCTCATTTCTGTCTTTATTTATTAATATATAATATATAATTATATTTATTATTTGTTTTAATAAATAATTCATCTATGTCTTTGTTTTTTAATCATTTTGCGCGTGTATAGCAAATATATAAAACTACTAAGTAATTTTAGATATCAATATTTTGTACTACTCAGCTGAAAGTACAAAATTAATAACCCTACAAGTCACATACCATCACCACTTGTATTATTATTTTGTCGATTTTCACTAATTTTATTCTAGAAAAAAAAATCTATTTTTATAAATTATTTTTAATATAAAAACATTATGTGTCGTATTTGATATTAATCAAATATGTAGTTTTAATAATTAGAAAGGCCGTACAAAAATGCTTAATTTTATTTTGTAAGGTGTTGAATTTCATTTTTTAAGACAATGGTTTAACCGTGTTTGAAAAATGAATTTTAAAAACAGTTTAAAAGTTGTCATTCCCAATTAAAAAAGAACAAGAATAGTTAGTCAAATATAACAAAGATTTAAATTTTAAATATGACTAGAGGTGCGAAAAGAAAATAAATATTGAGATGATCTTGAATACTATTCTAGAAAATTCATGATTTATTCGAGAAAAATTATAACAATTGATAAGATCAAATAAATCTGGGAGTATGAACCTTCAATTCAAACATTGAAATTCTTAACTAGCCACAATAAATTTGGCTCGTCCTATTTCTCGATTCTAATCCTTTTTTTGGCGAAAGACCTTATTAGGTTATGATCACTTAGAATATCTAATTGTGGGTATGAAAGTGATTTGGGTTGCTCACTAACATGTAAGAGCATCCACACTAGTTCTTTCAAACCAAATTGCAAAACCATGTACTTACTATTTGAAAGCCACGTAAGAGGACTTCTTTCAACTGTTGAAAGGGCATTGCAAGGGACCCACAATACTTTAATTAATTTATTATATTATTAGGTGTGAGATCCGTGTATTATACGAGTTTATTTAAAAAAATAAAAATTAAATTAAATTGTAAACATAAAATATTTTTTAATGTACAACTTTAAAATAAGAAAGAAAGAAACGTATTTATTGCAATTTAATATATATATATATATATATATATATATATATATATATATATATATATATATATATATATATATATATAAGTATATGATTCTAATTTTAAAATTTGAAACAAACCAAAATTTGATAAATAATTTTGTGGATTTGATGCACCTGATAGCTATCTTTTAGCAAACTCAAGTTCCTGAAAGAAGCACTTAGAAAGTGGAGATTGGCTATTTCACAAATAAAATTTTGATCTATAAAGATGCTTTAGGAGTGTGTGAACAAAATTGAAATAGATGCAGAATCTCATTCCCTTTCTACATTAGAAATATCGGCTAGGAGAGAATCAAAACTCAAAATCATTGAATTGGAACACGCAACAAAATTGGATCTTCAGCAGAAGGCAAAAATCAAATGGATATGTGATGGAGATGAAAATAGTCGATTTTTTCACGTATGCTGAATAACAAATATAGGAAGAACAGAATTCACAACATAGATTCTAGTGGCACTTAGATCTCGGATCCTATTTCCATTAAAAATGAGGTTTTTAATTTCTTTCAGGCTAAATTTCACGAGTCGTGGCCTAATCGCCCCAAGTTGATCAACCCGATGTTTAAAAGACGTTCCCTTTCTCAAAGCTCTTTTCTAGAACTTCTAATCTCAGTGGAGGAAATAAAAAATGCAATTTGGGGATGTGGTAATGAAAAAGCACCTGGACCCGATGGTTACACATTCAAATTCATAAAATCAAAATGGGAATTCATGAAATGTGACATAATCAGATATGTTAAAAAATCTGAGGTCACTGGTTCCTTCTCGCCTAGGTGCAATTCATCATTCATAACTCTCATGCCCAAGGTAAAGGACCCGCTAACTCTATCAGATTATAGGCCGATAAGTCTTCTTGGATGCTTATACAAGATTGTTGCTAAAATACTTGCAAATCGTTTAAAAGTAGTAATTGGTAGCATCGTGGATGAGACACAATCAACATACATAAAATAGGAGAAACATCCTTGACGGGCCTCTAGTGATGAACGAGATCTATTACTGGGCAAAGAAAGAAAAGAAATCGATGTTCTTCTTCAAAGTTGATTTTGAAAAGGCATTCGACTCCATAAATTGGGATTACTTAGATTCTGTAGCGGATCAGATGAAATTTGGAGATAAATGGAGAAACTGGATACGTGGATGTTTATCTAGTTCCAAGGCATCAGTATTAGTAAACAGCAACCCCATGGATGAATTTCATATTAACCGAGGTGTGCGACAAAGAGACCCGCTATCTCCATTCCTATTCATCCTTGCAATGGAAGGATTACACGTTGCGATCAAAGGAGCTCAGGAAAAAAACTTGATTCATAGAATTAAACATCCTCACAACAGGCCTGTGTTGTCTCACCTATTCTACACAGATGATGCGATTTTCATTGGTGATTGGAATCATGGATCCATTAAGAATCCGTCTCGCATCCTCAAATGCTTCCAAATCTCTTCAGGACTCAAGGTTAATTTTCACAAATCAAGACTATTTGGCACTTGCATTCCGGACTCTGAGCTTTTACGGATGGCTCAAACTCTTGGTTGTCTTAATAGTACATTCTCATTCGTATACCTTGGAATTCTAGTGGGGGCTAACATGCTTCTAAAAAAGAATTGGAAACCTATAGTTGAAAAAATCTAAGCCAAATTATCTAATTGGAAAGCCAACACTCTGTATTTTGGTGGAAGACTAACTTTAATTAAATCAGTCCTTGGCAGTTTACCTACATACTACCTATCTATATTCAGAACCCCACATGGTATTCTAGAAGATTTGGAAAAGTTAAGACAAATATTTTTATGGGGTGGTAATAAGGACAAAAGAAAGAGTCATTGGGTATAATGGCCAAAGGTGGTTGCTGATAAGAAAGAGGGAGGTCTGGGGGTTGGATATTTACTTGCACATAATATAGCTCTTCTCACCAAATGGTGGTGGCGCCTGAAAAATGAAAGCAGTTATATGTGGGCTGAAACAATAAATAACATACATAATCTAAAGAAACAACCTTCTAATTATTTGGGCAGAAAACACATAACTAGTGCTTGGTGCCGCATCTCCAAAGCTATTAAGAGTATTGGTCGTTCCAATATCGACTTTAACAACCTTTTCTCTCTTGTTCCTGGATCAAACATTAAAATTCTTTTCTGGAAGGGCGTGTGGTGGGGAAATACTGTGACAACCCGAAATTTATTCTGTCAATGTAACCCACTTCCGTTAATAAAATTTATTTTTATTAAAAGTTTTCCGTTAACTTCTTGAGTTAAGTAAATCAATTAGGGTTGTTATTGTAATTACAAACGTGTCGGAAAAACGAAAAATCACGTGAAAAACCCTCGATTCCCTCGAAAAGCCACTAGTTCACGACCAAAGTGGGTTTACGGCCGTAAACTCGTTTACGACCATAAACTCCGTTTGCTGGTGATGTTTGGTGGACCCCTACCCCCTGTCCGTAAACTCACCCTATATAAGGGTTGAGTGGCCTTCTTTTCCACCTTTTTCACACGCTAAGAAGCTTTCTCTCTACTCTCTCTCTACAAATTCTGATTTTGATCAAGAAACATAAAAAATGTAAGTGTTTTTCTCCCTAAATTCGTTCTTACAACACTTAATCTAGTGTTTATACCTCACTTGATCCATGCATTCTTGGTTTTAACTAGATATTCAAGTGATCTTCAAAACACCAAGAACACATTAGTGTTTTTGGGTCCTAAACACTTCTACAAGCTTCACATAAGTAAGTAAACCCCTCTTAGCTAGTTGTTTGCTTAGAATACTTGCAAATCCATGGACTAAACACCCAAAACCCCCAAGAACATGGGTTTACGGTTTGGGAACCTCCCAAAACTGTAAACACCCCCAAAGGGTGTTTTGATGCCCGAAATTCCTTCCAATACTTGG